ATGTTTACAATTTTTTCAAACAGTGGCGTCTTTAGGGGTAGACCTTACCTTAAGGTGGCATTATTTTGAATTAAGAACTAAATTCTTATTAAATTTATTATTGATATGTATTTATTTATGTGTAACATAATTTAATAAATTATATTTTATTATTATATTAATTAATAATGTAAAAATAAACAAATAAAATTATAATATAAAATGTATGTAACACTTTATTTTCGTAAATTTAAGTATTGTTTTAAAGTGTTTTAATAATTTTTAATTTAACATGTATGCAATTGTAAATACATTTTTTTTAGAATTTGTGCAATTAAAAAGTAATATATTTATTATAACATAAATAAATATTTTGAAAATAAAATGTATAAAACTTGATTTTTAATATTAAAATATTTATTTTTAATGACAATAATTTATTACTAACACATACATTTATAATTTGCTAATTTAATTTATTTGATATGAATTTATTTTAAGTAATTCGCCAAAACTATATAAATAATTTAATTACACAAATTCTAAAAAAAATGTATTTACAATTACATACGTGTTAAATTAAAAATTATTAAAGCTACTTAAACTCAAAAACCGTACGTCGCATTCGTCACTTAATAAAAATGGAAATTTAGCTAGTTCAAATTTTAATGTTATTTTTCTCGACTTCAAAGATACAAAAAAATTTAAATATGTTTAACTTTTTATACTATGTCAATTAGATTGATATAATATCAATGAAAATCAATGTAATCCCCTTATAATAAAATAAAATACAAAACCAAGAATTTTAACGCAAAAATAGCATATTTTTCAATATGGTAGCTATTTTCACCATGAAGACAAAATAAAGTCCAAAATTTTTTTTTTTTATATTAAAGTATATTACATAAGCTTTAATTTAAGATATATACAGGGTGTTCAGTAAGTCAGGAAACGGGTTTCCTGACTTACTGAACACCCTGTATAAAAAAGTCAGTATTTCCAGAACATTTTCAAAAATTAAGTTGAAAAATTTCTACTTTCTATATACATTTTTATGTTTTGAACCCCCCCCTGTATTAAGGGAAATGGTACGATTTTAAAAAAAAGTATGTCAGTAGGTGTGTAATATATGAGCTGGGACCCCCCCAACCCACATGTGGGTTTACTCTGCCATAGGTAGACGGACGGTGTATATAGTCGGGGGGATATGGTGAAAGACATAGTGCCCCCCACCCACATGATGTAGGTTAACCCTGTCATAGGTGGACGGGCGGTGTAAACGGCCAGGGGGATATGATGAAAGGTCGATGTTGCTCGTTCTTAGATAGCGTTTTGTTATACCATGGTATAACCTTGGTATATACATAGTATACCTAGGTAGATAGAACATCATACTGTATATCCTGATATATTATAGAAAATTTGAAGGATTTTGAAAATTACATAATTTTAAAAATATGTGAAAATATTTGAATGCAGAAAAGTGAAAGGTGTAATCAAGCGGCGACGGCGGCTATTAATCCAACGAAACCCAACTATAGCTATGTGATGTGTAGGCCTTTGGTTATAGAGAGCCACCTTACTTGACTAACGTATTTATTAAAACAGTAAATCAGCGGTTTACCCCTACATAGAAGGGGAGGTGATGATGAAACTCATCATAAGGTGATCATTATTATGATATTAAAGTAAATAAATAAATATGTACAATATTATACTATTTCATAAGAATTGAGTTATTTTTTAATTATAGAGAAAATATTTATACGTTAGAAATAATATTTTATCAAATTCTTTTTGATTATTAAGTTACACTATTGCGTTTGTTAATGGTCATATTTAGTTATTGTGTAAACGTTATTGTATAAAACATGAATACACATAATCTATTACATATATTTGTATACAAATATTTAGAAATCGAGAGTTTAAAATTAATTATTATGATATTAAAGTGAAATTACTTAAGAGTTGAAGAAAAGGGTTAGTATACGGGGATATGTGTTCTATGATTTGCTGACTCCCCCTATGAAAAAATGCGATTTTTCCGCATAAATGTCATAATACACTCGTTACTATCACAATATGATATAACAGAGGACTGCTCTGTTTCTGTCCACAATAATGGTCGTTCATTTAAAAATTATTATATTGATAAAGCAATAGATCAAATAATTATATTAATCTTTAAACTTCAATTAATTATTATTAACTAGTTCGGACCTTATGAATAATCACATTACATGGTATTCGTGAGATGGCCACCGCCTCTTCGTTGCCTAAAAGAGTTTAAAACCTAATGTGATTTCTACTGTATATATATAACACTTCGACTGGGTATTCGTGAGATGGCCACCGCCTCTTCGTTGCCTCAGTGTATTATTACAGGTACTTACTAGTTGAATCATTTACAATATCTCTATAAGAAGAACCTTGATTATTACTTTTTATATCTACTTGTCTTTATTGTTCTAAACCCTTCAGACCTAGATGAACAATATGGCTGCCGAACCTGTAAGAAAACAGTGCTACATTTATATCGCACCAACACCACCAGCCGAGATGATTGATTCTAGCAGTTACACTATTGTGTTTAGCGACAGAAAATTTTTGCAAGTGGGCCTGAATCCAAAGGATGACTTCAGTGTTATGGTATGCATTATTACTCCTTCACGATATATTAGTATGTCAGCAGATTATTTAAATATTATTTACGGCATGATGGATAAAATAACATTATTTCTACAATCACCTCCGGATTTCCGGAAGGTTATAATGCTAAAATTTAAGTAATGATGAAAAAAAAGGACATTAGGTCTTTATATATTAGAAGTTGCCTAAAAAAATATTGATAGCGCTTGTATAAAGAGAGGCCAATCTCTCTTAAATATACCCCTGTTATACACAAAAATTATTAATAATCTAATTATAATAATTGTGTTTATATTATTGAATAATTACAAAAAAATTTAGCAGGTTATTATAAGTGGCACACTGTAAATTTAAATTAAAATTAATATTAAAAATAAAAATAAAAATTTAATTTTGATAAATATATCTGATATATTTGATAATAACTGCGATTTAACGATGACATCATAGTTATCATAGATGAACCCCAATTCAAAAGATAAACTCATAGTCTCATACATCATATATGAGAAAAAAGAAAATTATTAACTCTGTACTTAGTTCTTATAATGAAAGTACAAACTTAAATAATTATAACGTCGTGAAATTTATATATAACATATAACATTCCTTGATAAAAATAGGGAAAATGCAAAATAGTGTCCTAATAGTAATACATAATACACCATATAATTAAGGTTCATAATACGTATCAGCAGAAATGAATCACTGCGCATAATACAACCATGCGCGTGGACTTAAAAAAAAAAGATCGTAAAACGATAAAAAATGAACGGATTGAATAGATTTTTTTATCATATCTCAGAAATGTCATTGGGCGGGTCTGATGAAAATTTCAAACCTTAAGTCGTAAAACGCTGGCGTCAGCGAGCGTTTTTCTCGAAAACGGTCGAAATTTTAAAACGCTCGCGGGCGAGCGGCAAAAATTTTCCGACCTTCGCCAATAATTTTCCCGGAGTCTGGTGACCGAGTACTTCGTTGAAAAAAAAATTTTGAAAATCCGAGCACGCTATGTAATTTTCCCAGAAAAGCGATTTTTTCCTTGTTCTATTATATAATAAGATTAAAAAATAATATTAAATATGGTTAAAATAAAAACGTCTATACATTTGTAGGTTGAATAACAAGGTATTTGACCACATGGGGCGATTTAATATGACAACTTTTTCACAAAAAATTTACTTTTACACATCATTTTTGAAAGTGTCCCGGAATATCTGGCACTTTTATATATATCTTAAATTAAAGATAGTGTAACGTACTTATTATGAAAAAAAAAAATTTCTTTCTTTATTTTGTTTTCATGGTGAAAATGGCTACCAAATGCTATTATTGTGTAAAAATTCTCAATTTTATTTTTTACATTTTTAAATTTATAATGCTAAACATTGAAAAGTGTATGGATCAACACAATTTTTTATGAGAAATAATATTTTTTAATAGTCCCTTTTTCATTCGATATACTTTATCTTAATTAGGATATTAATAAGGAAATAGTAAATCATGTAGCTTTTATAATAATCCACCAATTTTTTAAAATTAAACAGTATCTAAAGATTTGCATCGAAGCGTTTTTTTTGATAGTGATTTTAATCACTGTCAGATATCATTATACTTGATCCAATTATGTCACGTCACCACTGTGCCACGACCTTCCTGTACTGGGTTTTTTATTATTGTTCTAAATAGACGTCCGTTTGACGTTTCATACGTTCCAAACGTGTTCACGAATAACGTTCACCTTATATACCTTATATATAATAAAATCTGAACGTATACGTTCATGAACGGACTATTCAAAAATAGACCCACAGTTATCTTCGCTCCGTACGCAAAATAATAACACTAATAGATGACTCGTTTAATATTTTTTAACAGGCTTATATTAGTGTCACTTGTATATTGTTTGTTGTTTGTTGTGAGTTGTGGGATGTTTGTAACTTTCCACTCGGCACGTGTCTATGGCCTTGAGACTAGACGGTCGTAACGCATTCACCCCACTCCGCTCTACAGTCATCGAAAATAATATTTTCCAACCCGTAGACGCGCGCGTGTCATCAATTCTATATATGTATCGCTAACTGCAGAAACGGGACAAGTCCATTTTTATCAATTTTGATTTTATTATCATTTTTTGTTAAGCACGCGTAAATACATCGTTTACTGTAGAAAGAAGTCAAATCCGACTACCCAAATGCTAAATATAGTGTTTGGAAATTTCACTTAACTGCAGAATGAGAACATGTCCTTGTCATGTCCCATTTCTGCAGTAAACATCTTATATATCTTATATCTAATTATTTTGAATTTGTCTTATCTTAGTTGTATTGAACCCAATTAATGTACTATTAATAGTATACAATACGTAATGAACAAAATACCAAGAAATTCACTATAATTAAAATATAATATTTTTGTCAATATTATCCATAACCATCATAATGTGCTGTAATCAGTGTAATGTAAATCAGTATATCGTAGCCTTTACTACAGTAAAGTATAGTGTGAACTGTTATTTTATTTTTTAAAAAGGAATTCTGACTCTGATTCCGAGACAGAAATTCTTGAAACGTCAAAAAGGAAGAAAGGTATAATAAACAGCGAAAAATATAAACGTAACATTATTAAAAATGTGAAAGTACGAGGTGAATCTTATATAAATTACACTGGAAAAGAAATTCATGAAAAATTACCAGCAACAATATGCACGTATGTACACTTCTTATTTTTATTACTAAATAATATAATTGTATTAAAATAAAATGGATGATCTATAGGTGTAAATAAATATAGTTTAAAAAAACTAAAAAACACGCTTTTAAAGAACATCGAACTAAAAAGTTAAAAATTATTTTTAACTTTTTAGTTCGATGTTCTTTAAAAGCGTGTTTTTTAGTTTTTTTAAACTATATTTATTTTTCACTTTTTAGTTACATGTTACTCTAGTAGTTACTATCAATATCATGGTTGTAACGGGTAAAGGGGAATCAGGGTTCGATTCCGGAGAGGTAGTCTGAGAAACAGCTACCACATCCAAGGAAAGCAGCAGACGCGCAACGTGGAGGTAGTGACGTAAAATGACGATACGGGAATCATCCTTTGTAATCGGAATAAATACCCTATATATCTCTTAATGAGAATAAAGCGTATTAATATATAAGTTTTAATAGTAATTAAAATATATATATATATACATGTAAAGCGACTTAAGTACGTAAACGTATCATGCACGAGGTATAGCTGTGTTTTGTTGGCGGGCGGGGCGCGAGGCATATATGGCGGCAGCGGCGTCGGCTGTAGGGATATATAAATGAATATTAACATATACGTATATATAAATAATAATATATATATGTATATATATATTAATATTAGCGGCGATGGTAAGAATATATAATCTTCGCATAATATCGTGGCACTTTCTTTGGCGTTGACGACGCGATGTCCGGCGTGATCCTCGGGCGTCAAAAGGTTAGCAGCGTTGATGGCGACGGTGCGCGAGTGGAGATCGATTTATTGACGTTGCCACTTTGACAACAGGAAGAATACTACGGTATCATTAGCGGCGGTACGTCGTCGGCCGTGCGGCACTTGCTGGACTTTGCACCGCGGCGTATAACGCGCGGTGTTGGTCAGTCAAATACTAGAAATTATACAGAAAAAAAATAGTGTAGGCGCCGACTGGTGAGCGAGGTGGGGTGAATGCGTTACGACGGTCTAGTCTCAAGGTCATAGACGACGGGATACGCGACATAATAACACGTGCCGCGTGGAGTTACAAACTTACAACATACAATCAACATACAAACAATATACAAACATACATGTGAAACTAATATAAGCGTGTTAAAAACAATGTCTATCTGTATTCACTGATGATGAAAAAAAAAAGTTTACTTGAAATGTTCAACCAAATGAAGGACAAGGACGAGCAAGATTCTTACATACAACGTTTAATGGAACTACAGTCTGTACAGAGAAAACGAAGCAGATTAGAAATGTGTGCTGAACAAGCCAAGCCTAAATCGGTTTCGATAAAATATTTCGTTACGTACCAAACAAAAAAACAAATGGTATGTAAAAGTGCTTTTTTGAGTGTTTTCGGTATAACAAAAAAACGCTGTGAACGTCTAATTTTTTTATCTGAAAATAATCAAAGTCCACGGGATATGCGAGGAAAAAATGTTAGTGGTAATGCATTGGGTGGTGAAATTATGACTGATATTCATAGTTATTTAGAATCTTTTCCAGTAAAATTATCTCACTATACTGGAAAGGAAGTCAAATATTTGGATGCAAAATTGTCTGTCAAAAAAATGTACGAAATGTTTAAAGAAAAATATACTTATCACAAAGTTTCTTATAAATCTTTCTAGTCGTATTTTAAGGAAAATTTCAATCTGAGATTTGGACGTCCAAAAAAGGATACTTGTCCCACTTGTGAAGAGCTAAATGCTAAAATAAAATCTCAAAGTCTTAATGAAAACATAAAATTTCGAAGTTTTTATATTAACATTTCATTAGTTTTTCATCATTCCTGAAAAATTAGGAAAAGTGGACTTGTCCCGTTTCTGCAGTTAGCGATTCATATATATAACAAATTTTTATTGTGATTGACACGGCCCCGCGTCGTTTTACGCCGCGGTGCAAAGTACAGCAAGTGCCGCACGGCCGACGACGTCCCGCCGTTAATGCTACCTTATTCTTCTTCTCGTTGTCAAAGTGACAATGTCAACAAACCGTTTCGTACTCGCGCACCGTCGCCTACAACGCTGCTAACCTTTTGACGCCCGAGGATCATCACCGGACATCGCGTCGTCGACGCCAGCAAAAGTGCCGCCATATTATGTGAAGATCATATATTCCTACTACCACCGCTAATAATAATATATATATATTATTATTTATACCTATATACGTATATGTTAATATTCATTTATATCTTCCTACAGCCGACGCCTCTGCCGCCGTATATACCTCGTGTATAACGTTCCCCCCGCCCACAAATGACGGCTATACCTCGTGCATGATACGTTTACGTACTTAAGTCGCTTTACATTTATATATATATATATATTCTAATTACTATTAAAACTTATATATTAATACGATTTATTCACATTAAGAGTTATATAGGGTATTTATTCCGATTACAAAGGATGATTCCCGTATCGTCATTTTACGTCACTACCTCCACGTTGCGCGCCTGCTGCTTTCCTTGGATGTGGTAGCCGTTTCTCAGACTCCCTCTCCGGAATCGAACCCTGATTCCCCTTTACCCGTTACAACCATGACATTGATAGTAACTGCTATCATAACATGTAACTAAAAAGTGAAAAATAAATATAGTTTAAAAAAACTAAAAAACACGCTTTTAAAGAACATCGAACTAAAAAGTTAAAAATAATTTTTAAAATAAGCGTAAAACAATAATACTAGTACTTTTCGTTCATTATTGTTTTACGCTTATTTTAAAAATTATTTTTAACTTTTTAGTTCGATGTTCTTTAAAAGCGTGTTTTTTAGTTTTTTTAAACTATATTTATTTTTCACTTTTTAGTTACATGTTATGATAGTAGTTANTTTACATTTACATTTATTCTTTATTCACAAAATAATCAAATTTTCTTTAATACTATTGAATTTTTTTCTCCTAAAAGTTATACGTATATCCTTTTTATATATAATCCGTTTAACATTGTATATTAAACAAACTCTGTAAATTTTCATACATACATCATATTGTGTGTTGATATCATTATACCACGCTTAATCGTTCTATGCTATAAATATACTAGCACGCAATTAGGTCCGATACATAACCAGTTGGAGCTTCTAAATTATCGCTCTCGTCCAGTTCATCTGTATATTTATACAGATAGTTTTATGATATTATAAAAAATATAAAATAATTGTTTAATCTAATGAATAAATTTAAGTGTTACTAACCCTAACAAAAGTTAATAAATTTGTTTAATATAATATTCGTAAAAATATTATTGTACTTATAATATTATTATTTATTTATTTTTTTGAACAACAAATTTCTCTCTTTGTTTATTTATATCTAACATATGCATTTGTTTTTTTCCCAATATAAATATTAAATATGTTAAATATAAATTTTATAACAACTTATCCTAGTAAAATCTTCATATTTATTATTTTACATTTAATAATTTTCTTAAAAAAAAATTTTAATTTTCGTAAAGGTAAATATTGTTTGATTTGAAAAACTATTGTTAAATGTAATTAAATAATATTTTGTTTAACCCTTCTATAATAAAAAATTTTAATTTTGAATTTCTGAATTTTATGGAAGGGATGACAATAAAATTACTTAAATAAATATTACTATAGAGCTTTTATAAACAAATAATATTTTCCTTTACAAAAATGTTCAATCGTTTACATGAAAATGAAAATCCTATCCTGAATGAATCATTTGTAAAATAATAATCTTGTTTATTATATAAGCGTAAGTAGCCACAAAATTTATTTTTAACATTTATATTTATGGGTGCACTACATAAGCCGATAAAACAAAATAAATTTCAAATTAGACTTCTAATCATAATATCTGTGGGTCTATTTTTGAATTTTATATTGGTGTATAAAACTATTTAGTATACTAAAACACGACATTTTAGTGTAACTATTAATGTGAAACTAAAAAATTGTATTTTTGAATGTTAGTATGCTAAAAAATATTAATTAGTGTTGCATTAAATAAAACGTATAACGTTTTCAAATTAATTTAATGATACAAAAATGTAACATCCAAATATGTATTACATTCAAGTTGTAAATAACTAGGAAATGACTGAAAAAGATAAAGATAATTACCATACAACAATGAGATTAAATATAGCAGAAGATCTGTTCATTGGTATGTCACAAAACTTATGTATAACTAATGTAAATAAATTTTCTAGTTACATTAATAAAATATTATTTTCTGTACTTTTGTTTGAAAGTGCATTTGTACAAAAATTTAGACTAACAAAAGATGTTATACTAAGGTTTAATTAATGAACTACGTCCATAAGGCCTAAAATATTTTGTCCATCTCAAAATATTTTTAAATAACTATATACAGAGTGGCCCACACTCACTGACAACTTAAATAACTTTTGATCCAGTTAATATTTTTAGCTGATTTTTTTTTTAAATAATAGTTATACGTTAGGTCCATAGATATAGCTATATCTCAATAATTAAATTTTTTACATTTTATTAAATTTTTAATTTACATTTACATTAATTATTTTTTAATTTTAAATAAAATGTAAAAAAAAAATCTAAGAATGCTATTTTGTAGAGTAGAATTTAAGAAAAATTTTAGTAAAAAAATATCTTATTAATATTCAGTAGTAAATATTCTGTAGCGTTTTGAAGTTTGTGAAAATTTGAATTTTCATGTACTATTTTACGGTATTAAACATTGAAATACGTATTGAGAAAAGGACAGAAGAAAACGCTATCTTTTCATGATTACTGTGAATACATATGATGATAATGTGTATTATATACTCACCATATTTATATTTATTTATAAAATAGTAATTTAATTAATATGAATGTTTGTATATAATAAGAATTGATCATTGTTGACTAATATTATTTAAAATTAAAATATATTTAAAATATTATTTTAAAACAAAAAATATAAAAAAACTAGTCTTCTTCTCAGACCAGGGACTTGACACATCTTCAGCCGTACATTAAGACCTTTTTGCCGTCCTTACTTGTAAAATTAAATTAGATTAAATTCTTAATTTTTTGTGTATTCATAATACATTTTTAAAAAATCGTCTAAAAAAAAAATATAATTTTCTGTTAAATTTTCAAATTTCAAATAGTGATTCTTATTTAAGAAAAACGATTTAATTATATATTCTTGGAGGGATGAAAAAAATGATTAAAATTAACTAATAATATGAAGTTTTTGAAAAAAAATAATTGTATCTTTTACAAAGTTTAGATTCTCAAAGCTTCTATGAAAATTACTATCTTACTTAAAATCTATTACCTTGAATAAAATTTATATTTAAGGATTCGGATTTATAAAATTCATATTGGATCAGCTCACAAAATTATGTGTAATACAATAATAAAATCAATAATCCTTGAACTTAATTGTATAATTTATTTACATAGATTATTCAAAAGGAAAAAAGGTATTTATTAAAATTAAAGTTACATGGGAAAATTCTAGTGGTTGTCATGGTACACATACGTATAAAATGTATACAAAAAAGCTATTTATTTTATCTATTGTTAGTAATAAAAATGTATAGTAGATTATATCGTTAGTTGCATTGAATATAATGGAAAATAAGTGTATCCAATTAAAATAAATAACACTGAAAATTTAACTAAAAGTTTTTATTACTTATAAAAGTCATGACGTCGCTTTGGAATAAAGCTCGAAGATCGTTCTTAAACAGCAATATCACCTTTGCGGTTGTCCCATGTGTGAATAAGTCATCAATAAGAGATAATTTTCATAGAAAAAATGTAAGTTTAGTTTTATTTATCATATAAATGTATTAGCTTCAATGCGAAACTGAGAAGGTATTAATTTTACCATGATGTGTTTATTTATTTATTTTTTTTGTGTCTGTCACTACTTTTTCTCAGCTCTCACTGGACCGATTTCTTTCAATAATACGTCAAAAGATCACAAATCGTATCTAGTTGAAGAAATTACCCTTAAATGGGGGAAACCTCCAAAAAAATTACAAATTTAAAATTCACTAATTTTCGAAATTTTTTCAATTTTTTTTACTAAAAACTACCGTAACTTTTTCAAAAATGAACATATGAATATAATTTTTTTTTCATAGATGCTTAATGTCTTTACCTATCATTTGGTATATTGTTTTCATACATTTAACCTTTTACCTGCCTAATAAAAAATTAACTTTATAATGCTATAACTTATTGAAAAGTGTATGAATCAACACAATTTTTTTATGAGAAATAATATTTTTTAACAATCCCTTTTTCATTTGACATACTTTATCTTAATCAGGATATTAATAAGGAAATAGTAAACTATGTAGCTTTTGGAATAATCCACCAATTTTTTTAAAATTAAACAGTATCTAAAGATTTGCATCGAAGCGTTTTTTTTTTATAGTGATTTTAATCACTGTTAGATATCATTATACTTGACCTTAGTATGCCACGTCACCACTGTGCCGCGACCCCCCTGTAATAGGTTTTTTGTGTCTGTTACCATTTTTTCTCAGCTCTCACCGAACCGATTTCTTTCAACAATACGTCAAAAGATCACAAATCGTATCAGTTATCTTAAAAAATACTTAAGATAACATTTTATTTGTTTAGACAGACGTATGCGAGAGTACTGGAAATTTTTGGAATCATGTCAATCCATGCCCATTTTGTGGTCATGAAGATAGTCCAATACCAGTAAGAAGTCAAAGATCAAGTAGTGATCCAACTGTATCAAGTTTATCAAGACTGCCTCCAATTGTTTGTTAAATATTTGTTTTATAGACTTAATTTGAAAATATAGGGCATTGCGACAATTTGGTTATAGCTTGCTCGACAGGTGGGTTAGTCGAATTCAAGGGATTGATTTACCATTAATCAGGTGATATATGGCCTCGGTTGCTCCAACCCATTCCTCTATGGTATTCCAAAAGTAGCCAAGCCGGTATGCGACCAATGTTAGGATCACTAGGAAACACATAATGTATTGCATGCTTTCTTTTGGTGAAAGGTATAGACTCGTGAACGGGAGAAGTTTGAATCCCGTTTCGGGTCCTCGTTTAAAGTGAGGTCAATGTTGGATCTCATGTTGAAAATTCTGGAGGTCTCTAGTCCAGGTGTTTATTGAATCGATGATGTACTGTAAGAAAAAAGTGGAATGCCTAACTCAGAACCGTAAAATTAAGTGAATTGCAATAATTGTTGAGAGATTTATTAAACTTATACTATGTTTTACATCCTCATCAATACCACCATTTTTTTGTACAAATGAACCTAAATATTTAAACATTTTCACTTTTTTGATCACGTCCTCGCTTAAAGTTACTGATCTCTTCATTTCACCTACCTCATGTTCTCTTTTGGCAAACTCGTACTCTATATATTTTGTGTTAGTCCTATTTATTTTCAAACCTTTTTCTTCGAGAGCTGATCTCTACACCTCTAGCTTTTCATTAATGTCCTCCCTATTTTCTACTATTACCAGTATATCGTCAGCGAACAACATGCACTATGGCATCTCTTCTTGTATTTCTCTAGTAATTTCATTCATTACTATAGAAAATAAGTAAGAGCTTAAAGCCTTTAAAGAAACTTTAAGAACCTTAAGAACTTTGATACATTCTTACTCTTACCCTAAAGCCTTCTGTTACTCCTGCCACACTTTTTACCTTGATACAAGTGTCATCATACATATCCTCTATTATTATAAGGGTCTACCTCTAACCCTTCAGAGTTCCGTAGATGATAAATGGTGAGGAGGGGATGTGTCTAGCTAAATTTTAGCGATTATTACAATACATCCCCGAAACGGACACACTTTTGGATGCCGTCCCTGAGTAAATACTATGGGACGGCTTGGATTAATGCAGATTCGCCTACTTCCTTGCCTGGGTTTAGATTCGTAGTGACTGTCTAACAGTTTAAAGGGGCTAGCCAACCCTTGAAATCTGTAGACGTAAGTGGTTACGGTCGCATACTGGCCAAAGCGAAATCTAAGAGTGATTATCCCTTACTAGGTGACGAGCTCTGCACATATACCGAGTATGGGATTATAGGACTAAACATTCGCAATGGTACTCTATATCCTCTATTATAACAATATACCATTTTGGAACTCCTTTTCTTATTAATGCAAACTTTAAAATCTCTCTCGGTACTCTATTATACGCTTTTTTTAAATCTATAAATACTGTACACAGCTTTTTCTTTTTTCCCTACAGTTTTCTATTAGTTGTTTTATACAAAATAATGACTCTATTGTTGACTTACCAGGCATAAATCTAAACTGGTATTTAGATATCGATATCTTATTTCTTATTCTCTTATCTATTAGCTTTTTCCAAACTTTCATACTGTGACTCATTAGCTTTATGCCTCTAAAATTTCCACACTCTTGTATGTCTCTTTTGTCTTTAAATATCAGCACAATACTATTGTTCCATTCATTTGGAATTTTCCCTTCTAACAAGATTTGATATTTTTTCTTTTAATAGGATTTTATTAAAAAATTCCTTCAACCACCTTATGCAAACACCGTCTAACATTTACGATATCTCTATATGTCCTACTGCTTTATTATTTTTCATTGATACCACAGCTTCCAATACCTCTTTCTCACTCATTAAATCTTAATAATCATTAATATTAACGAATCCCTCGTTTCATGAGGTATCCTTTAATGTCTCTGTTATACACTCTTCATTTATAACTAATACATAATTTAAAAAATGTATGCCTAGTATATACAACCAAGTAAGATTGTTAATTAGAAACTTGTGTGCTTCAAAATGATTAATACTTATTTTTGAGCTTTTTATCACCAAAATATAGCATTTAACGACAATAGAAATAAAATTCTATTATGTTGCAATTCACTTCATTTTACGGAACAATTTAAAATATTTTCAAAAAAGATACTTTCATAAATATATTAAACACTTTTAATTGATATTTAATATTATTTGGATTTCATAATTTCAGTCTTCCCATTTTCATTTAAAATTAATTCAAATTTAGAAAAAAAATTGCTTTTTAGAATTATTTTTAATATTTAGGTTGAGTTTTATCGTATAATGGTTTCAATTTACTGTGTGCTCAGAAAAACTATTTTAATATAGCTTCCCATATTACTTTGTATTTGTTAACATAATACTTTTTTTTTCTACTGGTGCATCTATGAAACAGTTGTGTTTCATTGAACTGTTGATAAAGTAACTTCTATGACCAATAATAATTTTAATTATATGAAGTCAAATTAAAAAAAAAATAATTTACACAATTATTTAAAAATTATTCAAAATTATTAAATATCCTTATAAAAGAATTTAAATAATTATGCAACGTGATTCTGTTATTGTAAATCACTTAATTAATTAAAAAAAAAATGTTTTCTTTTCTTTAATTTATAGCTTTATATCAATTTAATCTTGAAGTATTTTTTATGGTCATCCCTTGTGTTTCAAAGGTATAGCAAATTTATTTAATATGTTTAGATAAATACCAACATTTTAGAAAGCTTTATAATTATTAAGAAGACCCACAAGTGATCTTGTAAAAAAATGATATTATAGATTATTGATTAGAAATATTCAAATATTTTTTTAATTTGCGATAACTATATTGTTTCAATTAATAAAATTTGATAAAAGGTTTTATCTTCTATGGACATTATATATAATAATATAACTAAGAATTATACACTGAGATAACTAAGTGAACAAAAAATATCAGATGGCTAATTTAATTTCTTATTTTAATATTCTTTTGGAACTGATAGACTAATTTCTCCTAATTTTACTACAACAAGACAAAAAAACAAAAATCATTGAAAACTCAATTCAATTTTTTTTGAACTGGTTTAATATAAAGATCTAATTTCGACTATGAATATTTTTATGTATGTATATATATATATAAATTTTTAAGTTTTGAAATTTATTAAATTCAATATTTTTTCTTTTATTAATTTTAGGAAAATTCTAACCAATTTGTAGCTCACAGATCAGATATAGCCACAATAACGAACAATAATTTGGTTATTAATGAGTCCAGAAATTTGAAAAAAAAATTACAAGTTGAGATTAAACCACAATATCCAACTAGACATGAAACAAGAGAAGACTTATTGTAAGATTTAATATTATATTGTTATACTGAGTGTTCAAAAAGTATTGAAACAATATTTTATTTTTCCAGTTATTAATAACAATTTATCCGTCTTATTACTTATTGGTCATCATTTATGTCTTTACAAAAACAATTTTAAAAAAATTTTAATTTTTAAAAAAAATTCATAAAGAGAAAAAAATTGTGAGGGTCTTAAGATTATTAGTTTTTTTTTATACTAAACATACATGTAATTCCATTAGCATTAAAACAAATGATTAAATACTGAATGTTTTTTATAGCACAAAATCTTTGACCTGATGATCAAAATAAATAGCTTGCTTACTTTAAAAATAAAAATAAAAAAAATATACAGTGTGTTTAAAAAATAAGAAACAATGTCAAATATTACAAATAAGAAAACAATAGATACCCTTTTCCTTACTTATTGAACACTCTGACAGCAAACTTAACCTAGCTTATTCTCACTATTCACTTAAAAAATAAAACATTTGAATAAAGAATTCACAGAAAACTCATACAAACTTTAAAGGTCTCTTTAAAACTCGCACTCATCTAAATAACTCTTATGATACACTGACCAACCTTACGATTAGGTTAATAAAGCGTTTTATTCGTTGCCGGCTGTCGACTATGTTCACTTATAAATTTTGAAAACTTTATCATTATGCATAGATATAGGAGTTATAATGGTGTGTAACCTAGGAAGAAAAATTACTTTGAAAGGTTACAAATATAAAAAAATTGCATTAATTGGCCACAAAGGAAAATTTATAACTTTCATGACGCATTGAAAAATTAAAAAAAAAAGGGTCGCCAACCTACTGGGCGAGACAATGTATTGTCGGACCACAGTTGGATTTTAAAAAGAAATTAAATTTTGTACATTAAAAACAATTTAAGATGAAAAAAAAATAGAAAAGTCCTAAAATTATATTTGATTTTTGTTGAGTCATTCATAGTTGATGTACACCAAAACCTCGTGACAGTTGTCACATAACCATATTCATCAGGGATGACCTTATACAAGGCCATTGTCCGTACCTTATAAACTAGGTGGAGTTGATTTTTGAAAGGAAAAAACATACAAAAATACACGAGTCCATTGAAGATTGAACACGCAAAAAAAAAAATAAGATAATAGTTAAGTTAAACTAAGGGGACTTTATTAAGTAAAAAAATTAAGTTAATACGAGGCAAAAAACCGAAGGTCAAAAAACCTCATCTACAAATTAAAAGGGAACAGAGAAAAAAAATACAGATATTAATAAAAAAAAATAGTTACACCTACACTTTTACAATTAGAAAATACGATGAACGTCTTCGGGTACCCACCAGCTAGTAATCACGACATTACCGCTAAGCACGGCGGGTATACGTTCCAAGTGAATGGTTTTAAACAGTTAGACTTAGCTTGCAAGACGTTGAGACACCCCGGAATAAAATGCACTACGTCACCACATTGTACTAATACTGTATACGCATCACCCAATATCATATAAAATCTATATATATATATATATATATATATAAATCACAAAAATAATATATATAACATGACAGGTGGTATTGTAACACGCCTGCCATGTTGCGGGACCTAAATAATAAAATTAAAAAAATAGGGACACCTAAAAAAAAAAATTTAATAAAAAAATTTTCCACACGTGCTTATGGCACGGCACACTTAAAAAAATATTCTGTCTACCGTGACGGACGAAAATTAATCAACAACCCGTTCCGACAATGGCTAATTTCCGACAAAACTACCGTCGTTTGACCCGGCGGTCCGTTGGCGACAACACGGCTGCCTTTAGAGTAGGGTTAACAAATTTTACCACTCAGTGCCGGAAATTATTAAGAAAAGTTTTAATAATCACATATCATAAGGCGACAATGTAGGTAGTGAGCAGTGCAATTGACGTTCAAGATAGGAAAGGAGCGGGGTGAATGTACACACAAATGCCGCCCATGAACCGGTCCGAAGTAGTACACAGCTGACTATCTCGCACGCGCACAAACAAATCACAACACCTTATCGTGATTATTTAACTGATAAACGCCGTCGCAGTACGCATTCGGCTCAACCAAGATAATTCAGAACACAAATAAATACATATACAAATGGACAAAAAAAAAAATAAACAGATACTTTTTGTCACGTTACAAGATGTCTATTATAATTGAACTAAGCTTACTATTTTTTTGTATTTAAAGATATGTTATATCAGCAGATTCGGATGATTTAAGTTCATAACTTTATTCTATAAGTACGAGTAAAACTATGCAAAAAATTGATTAATCGTTTTTCAAATGTAAAATTATCGATTAATTGGAAACCGATCACAATCGATTTCGATTATGGCAACTAGAAGCGTATTTAGAAAATTATGCTAGGAAGGTGGCATAAAACATTTTTTTTGCAAATATAATATAATTAAGTCAATAAGTTTTCATTTGATAAGTTGTTCACAAAAATGTAATTAAAACCTATGTCCAGAGAAACTTTTAAATATTTGGTTTGGTTTTTAAATATGTTTCTGAACGTCTGTATTCCAAATTAAAGTTTTTAAAATGTATTAAATTCTTATTTTTCTTAGCCTTAATCTCAACTACTTGGAGTTAGCCACCCTTATTCTAAACTTCTACTTAACACGATCTCCCACATCATCTACGCTTACTTAACTGTTGTCCTGGCGTACATCCGAGATGAAATAATCTGTCTAAGTTTTGTTCAGGACTCCTCATACATTTGACAAAATTTTACGTTGGCTATCGACCTGACGCAACCTCGTTAGTCGCCTCGTACGACTGGCAGAGGAACTATGGAAGTATTTTTATCTCTTATCCACAAAGAAATAGTTGTTCATTAAATAATAATGTTTTGTTTCTCCTATCATGGAAATAAATGTCAAACATTTTAAAATTATTTTATTTTTATAATAACCCAACCCCACTTTAAATATTCTTTTAATGGTAAATATTCATTTTAAGCATTTTTTATTAGGAAGCTAGTCACGTAGCTAATGTCCTTGTTTCAAAAGAACATTGCGGTGGCAAACAACGCAAAGAAACTTACGAACATATTTTTATAGTTTAAATTTTATCTTGGTGATTATTGTGCCGCATTTTTTCAAAGCGCTATCTCCGGGAAACATTGGGCTACCACAATACCGTCTTGATAAAATTTCTACATGGACATAAATATTTTTGAATCTTATTTTGGTCAGAAAAAGCTTAAAAAAAGATTGGTATAGGTCTCTCAATAAAATATATTCTCTCTAAAAAAAAAACTTATTCAATAAAGATGAAATACGGGTATATTATTTAAGTTAAATTTATGATAAAAAAAAAGATTGTTTAAAATTCTCTCTTTAAATGTAACAATCAGTCATAGATTTTTGTATCGTGATCGTATTATTTAAAATTAAACCGTTTTTCCAAGTAGTCATATTGACTATAAAACACGTAGTATACATCGTGTGAAACACAGTGTGAATTCAGAATCAACGTTAAATTGTTTAAAATATTGTTACATAGAATATTAGGTAAGTGCAAGTTTTATGTATGCCTTTAAACTACAAATAAATATATTGCTTAATAAACCATTGAGGTAAATTATAGAATTTTTCAAGAGATATTTAACATCAATTTTTCAATATTATTTAACCCCTAGATCAATTTATTATTTTGTCAAATACATTTATGTTACTTGATTTATTTGACCATTACCTTTATATGTTCAACCTCTATGTACTCACCTTTCTAAAATGCCCTTTTTATTTGTATTATTTTATTATATTTCACTCTTCGCCTTTCATATTTATTCTCATATGATATAAACTTTATTTTATTTTATTTTTTGGTTTATTACACATTCAGTTTCTATCTTGGCGCTGATGTGTTAGCTTTGCTGAATATTGTTGATTCTTTGATGAGAGACCATATGATAATTTTATCAGTGACAAACACCTTGTCCTATTCTAACTCCCTCAGTCATGATAAAGTCAGGTCGACAGCCGGTATAATAATCAATGATTATTATACTGATTCCAATCAACTAGTATGGATACTGAGAAATTATCATGATGATTATTCAAATAAATTAAAAGTACCTGTATTTGATCTTAAATACATTTTTGCAAATATGTTTGCATAAATATGCATTCTAAATACTCATGCTGTGACAGTATATGTTTCTATATTTAAATACAAATTGAAAAGTTTTTTTTTTTTGCATGACTGGTTATTTATTTATTTAGACAAGAAGTTCGAAAAAGTCATAAAAATGAAAATTTTATTGCAATTCAAAGATTTTATGAGAGATCTTTCAATTCATTTGCTGAAATTTGTGCACTGTTTAAGGTATGACGATAATATATTTTCTAATTAACTTGTAAATAAAAGTTTTTCGACGTTTAATTAATAAAGTTAAACTAGTTTAATGAATAAAATAAATTGTAATACACAAACAAATTAATGGTTCAATTCTTAGCTTCGATGCAAAGCTGAGAAGGTATTAATTTTACCATGATGTGTTTTTTTTTGTATCTGTTACAACTTTTTCTCAGTTCTATCTGGGCCGATTTTGATGAACAATATGTCAAAAGATCACAATTCGTATTTAGTTGAAGACATCGTTAAAAATTGCAAAAATTTCCCTCGTTCTCCGTAAATGAGGGGAAATCTCCGAAAAAATTGCAATTATAATAATCAGTAATTTTCGACATTTTTTTCACTTTTTTTTTAAAACTACCATAACTTTTTCAAAAATTAAATAATCAAAATAATTTTTTTAAATAAAAACCAAAGGTAATTTTATTTTATTTGGTATTATTTTTTTGACATTCTGACCCTTACCTACACACTGGGGGGAATTCAAAATAGCAAGTTTTTACAAAACTGAACTTAACTTTTGAAAATGATCCGAAAATACTGCGTCTTTTAAATATATGTTAAATTAAAGCTTATTTATTTATTTATTTGGTGTAAACGCCCAGGTAGGCTCAAGTACAGTGACAATAAATATATAATAAACATTGTTGCTGCGTACTATAAATTAAAAAAAAAATTGTCCCAACGACTTATCTCCACGCAAATAGTTGCCGTAGTTAAAAAAAAATGCATTATAAATACTTTTTTCATCCAACATACTTTTATTTAAATCGTGCAATTGCCCTATATACAGGAGCGTTCAAAACTTGAAATATGCGTATAAAAAGTAGAACTTTTTCAACTTAATTTTTGAAAATATTCCGGAAATATTGCGTCCTTTAAACATGTGTTAAATTAGGGCTTACATTAAGTATTACAAGTTGAAAAAAAAATTGTTCCGGCTACCTATCTTCTATGCGTAAATAGTATTCGAAATAGAACAAAAAATTGGAGTTATATTTGCTTTTAGAATAATCCACCAAATCCTTAAAATTAAACACTATTAACAGATTTGCATCGAAGCGTTTCTTATGATAGTGATTTTTATCACTGTCAGATTAAATCTATACTTGTCCCAACTGTGCCAAGATACTACTGTGCTACCAATTTTTAAATTCTAATTGTACACAACTAAGTATGTAATATTATTTACTATTTATACTTCTCAATGCTAAGTTTTACTGTGCTCAAGTCAAATAATTTTTAAATGGGTCATGAGTATCAGAAAAAATTTAATTGAGTGTGTAACATCAAGTTGAATGTTATATGTATCATTATGCACTAGGTGACCCTATAACATACACAGAGTTATGTAATAAAATTACATTCATAAGCGGAGTTTGAGAAAGGTCTTAAAAAGTCTAGGACCTCTCGAAAATAAAATAAGCGTTAAAATATTGAAAAAAACATTATGTCGTCTGATAAAAAATATTTTTAAGAGCAAAGAAATATTTATAGTTTAATTTTTAAATGGTAATTTTTCATTTAATAAACTATATTAAAATTTTTTTATAAAAATGACACTAAAATACATCATATTTTATCCCAAAGTATGTTATAATTGAACTTGGGTTGATTAAAATTGAGTATTTTGATGTGAATTGAATCGGTCATTTCGAAAAGGCCATTTTCCCACATTTTTTCAAAACTACTTTTGTGTGATAGATGTGTTTATCTAATAATAATGCAAATTTACTGAGAGACATTCATATTTCCAACAACTCGTTCTAGTCTAAAAATAACGAGTGCATTTGAAAAGACCATTTCTCCAAAAATAACTCGATCAGCAATTTTATTTGTTAAGATTCTATTTTCATCTGGTTTATTGTCTATATGTTGTTGATAATAGTTGATAATAACAATAATAATTATTGTTATTATCAAGAATAAGTGAGGTTAATATTATTAATAATAAGTCAATATGAGTGAATTCGAAGACGAAACTGAGTCTACGATTGATATTAAAAGAAAAAATTAACTAAAAAGAAATGATGTTGAAGTTCATAAACAAAATTATTACAAAGAATGCACAGTATATTTTGTAAGACTAATTATTTAATTATATATGATATACAATAAACAATTGAACAGAGTCGCGAGGTCATAACCAATTAAAATTTACAATCCATTGGAAAAGGTCATATCTCAAACACGTTCATTCCCTCATAAAATAATCCAATAGGTATAAATAGTCAATATTACATCATAGTTAGTTTTTTATTAGGGAATTCGATAATTCAACCCTTATTCAATTTTCATCTAAATTTATTTTGATCTTTAAAAATAGTTTTTTATGTTTCTTGAAAAATAAAATTTTATGGAGATATGGCCTTTTCGAAAAAACCGATTCAATTAAGACATTGGATAATTATTCACTAACTTTCACTCTAAATCTTAAATAAAGCATATATCACTTATAACTCAATAAGTATAAATGAATAAGACTAATTTCATGAGATGTTACATAAAAATATAAGAAAGATCGTCACAGAGCTCTCAGTATGTTTCAGAAAGACATAGTTCCGAGTTACTTAAACGAATATTAGAATGAACTAAGGAGACAAAATGTTTATTCCCTTTATAATAAAATGTTAAGATAAATAAAAAATTTTGGAAGTGGTAATTAAAAGACACTGATTTTTAACATAAATATTTAAAAGCAATGAAAAAGAAGAAGATTTATTCTATGGTAGGTTTTTGATATCAAGATTACGCGGATGGTAACTCATAAAGCATTTGTCAATTTTTAAATTTATTAATGCACTAAAAACATTTATTTAATTATTTGACAAGCATTCTTACTAGAAAACATAGTTGTTATTTTTAAAAATTCGCCCAATAATTAAAGGTTAAAAAATATATATTTAAAATTTTGAGTGTGCTTTTTGTGGGGTCAATAATAGGAATTTTTTTAAGAAATCGAGAAATTTCTAGAAAATTTTTTACAATTTTCATATATATTATTTTTTTAAGATTAATCCAAATCAATCTGGAGCTAAATTAGAAGATCCTGAATTACATTTAGAATTTATCTACTCAGTCCACGATTCTCTTAAAGATATGGTATGTTATACTATAATTTTTCTTGTATAATTCTAATTTAATTATCAATAATAGCCGAACATGATCCATAAAACAGTCTTGAAGTCTGTAATTAATGCATTATTAGAAAAGAAAAGAAGGTAAGAATATTTTCCATAGTTTTTTTTTATTTTTATAAATAAATTTAAAAATTTGAAATTATTATTGAATACTATTAGAGCACGGCATTTTATATAAAAAAAATAACGAATATACAAAATGGAAGTTTATGAAAAATATATCACTATTCAGTGATATATTTTGAACTGATTTATTATTATTTGAGTTAATTAATGTGAAATCCTCACGGAGCTTGTAAAATCATTAATTTTAAGTATAGATTTTAATGTACATGAAAAAAACTAATATTTATATCAACAAAGAATGTTGAAAATTTTAAATCAAATTTTAGTAGATTATTTCACAAAATTATATTTGTAGTTTAAGGCGTGAACTCGAATTATACTAATATTGAAGGAATACCTGATTTAACGTCAGACCATATACCAGTGCTCTTAATACTAAGGTCGCACGTAATAAAAAAACAAAAACGTCCTGTGCTCATAAATAAACACACAAATTGGGAAGCTTTTCGTGACCATTTAGACATAAGAATTGATTTGTCAGTTAAACTCAAATCTACAAGTAACATAGAGATAGCTGTACAGAATTTAACAGATAACATAATTATAGCTGCTGAACAATCTACACGTAATAATGAAGTTATGTTCGAAAAAGAAAAGACTTATCCTTTAGAGATAAGAAACTTAATTCAACTTAAAAGAAGAGCAAGGAAAAAATGGCATCGAACACAAAATCCAGTAGACAAAAGCGACTGGAATCGACTCCTCAAAATCCTAAAAGAAAAAATGTTCTCAATAAAAAATGAAACTTTTAAAGCATATATAGATAACTTATCTGCAACAGAAAATACAGACTACTCGTTATGGAAAGCAACCAGACGTATGAAAAGACCTCAAGTATATGTGCCACCAATTTTAAAGGATGATGGTACATGGGCTCGAAGCGAACAGGAAATATCTGAAACTTTTGCAAGTTACTTGGAATGTGTATTTCAACCTAACAACATACAATCTGATCTAAACACGACGTACTTAAACTACGATACCACTGATCAAACTACAGATCGCATTAAATATTTCACGCCTCTTGAAGTTGCAAATGAGATAGATAAAAATATTAACTCTAAAAAGTCTCCGGGTTATGATAGGATAAGTCCGCGTATAATTAAAGAATTATCTCGCAAAACAATCATCTTATTAACTTACATATTTAATACCTGCTTACGTATAGAATATGTACCTGTAAATTGGAAAAAAGCACAAGTCATCATGTTATTAAAACCAGGAAAGCTGCCTGAGAGTACTAGTTCCTACGGGAGGCCGTATTTATGCGGAAAAAAAATGGGCGGAACATGAATTATCCGGAAAAAATATCTCCGGAACGTATATTACTAGAACTGTATAATTACGGAAACTTTAAAATCCGGACTGTAAAATTCAGGATCGTAAAATCCCGGACCGTATAAATACGGAATACAAGATGCCTGTCCGTAGATTACCGGTCTTCTAAAATTCGGAATGTAGAACGCCGGACCGTAGAAATCCGGAAAATATTGTTATGAGTGGTTCTCAATATGCTCTCTCGTTCTATATAGTTTTATTCCATGAATACCTACTGAAGCACGGAGATTCGGAATGAATTTTCAGCATGACAAAATTATTATTAATTGTGTTTTAAAATTATTATTGTATAGAACAAATTCAAGTTGGACATTTGTTTTTCATATCTTCTATTAATGGAGATTTCTGTTCGATTTCGATCATTCTTAAGATAAAATATCAATTTTATATTATTAATATTCCTAAATTCAATAGTGATTGCAATAAGTGTTTTTTTAATTTAATAAATTTATAAAAATCATAGTGTACATACAACATAGCTATTTGTAGCTATTTGAGCAGCTCGAAATCGCTGTACATTTTAAACCTACCTTATATTTGAAAACCTGAAATCTTTTTGTTCATTGTTAAGGAGTTTTTATTAAATATTATTATAAAATCAAAGTAACATAATTGACAAACATATTTTAGATTTTATTCTTAAAAAAAAAAAAGTACAAATAATGAAAATAATTTACATCCCGGTGTGCAAAAATGAGTTAATGAGACGAAAAGTAAAATGCTCTCGGCAACTTGCGATATTGAAGTAAAAGTTTGTTAATTTCTTAGGAACGTTATTTAAATGCCAAACGCTCGGTTTCAGATACAATATAATACTTATGTATATTACAAATACAACTTTAAATAGAAGTTAATCTAATACTATTAGAGTACTTTAATATATACATTCATACACACATATTAATTTATAATACGTGGTCTCTATATAAACTTCGTTTATTTTTTAATTAATTTGATGCAAAGTGATCGGAATTTTGTTCTAAACAGCATACAAAAAATATTAGTGAATTTTATTGTCAACCCCTTCACGTACGTCAAAGGGATAAAAATTGAAAAAAAAATGTAGAAATCTATTTTTTTTATATATATCCTATTAATTATTATAAATAGAAAAAATTCCTCAGAATTAATAATGCAGTTAACTATAATGAAAAGAAAGAGGTCTTTACAAATTTGTTGTAACATTGATTTATCAACGTCTAACTAATAAATTCTGTTTAATTTTATTTTTCGCGAAGACTTTTTTGGTCTTTAATGTTTATCTCTATAATTATTGTGTCATACTTCGGTAGTAACCCGACGCAGACACAAAAAGGAATACGCAAATTAATTAATATTTTTTATCGACAAGTTCGACGTTTTTAGCTCCTCCCGTTGGATACACTGGTCAGAATTTAAAAAAAATGATATAATTTAAAAAAGAAATACTTAAGAATTTAATATAAATAAAAATTATTTTGATTTGTTAATTTTTGAAATAGGTATGGTAGTTTTAAGAAAAAAAATGTCAAGAATTATTGATTTTTAAAATTTAAATTTTCTTGTAGATTTTGTCCATTTACAGGGAAGGAGGAAATTTTTTTCTATTTTTAAGGGCAATATCTTCAAGTATATATGATTTATGATCTTTTGACGTTTTGTTGAAAAAAATCGGACCAGTGAGAGTTAAGGAAAAGTGGCAGCAGACAAAAACAAAACACATCATAGTTAAATAAATATCTTGTCAGCTTTGCATCGAAGCTAAAATAATATTTTATGCTAACAAATATTAAACTATAATTTAACTTATTGAAGGTCAAAGTGTGGATACTTTTTTAAATCAAATACTTTTTTAAAAAGTTCAAGATACTGTACAAATACTTTTATGAAAAAGTATTTGAAATACTAGTTAAATATTTTCATTTAACTGTATTTGGAATACATCTAAATTACTTAAACAATTTTTTTAAGACTACAGGCACAATAGGGGTGGTTACTTGAAATTTTAGGTTTTTATCTCTGAAGAGATGAAAAAAAATATTTAACTACATATTATTCTAGAGTTTTTAGAATTAAACAATAATTTCTTTTACGAAAATTACATATTTTCTAAGATAATTTCTTGAATTAAATATCAAAGAATTTCTTATCTTTAATTAATCACCTGTATAATATATTAGATAGATTTTTTCATAAGATAATTTAACCAAAAACATGGAGTTGAAGACATTTTAGCTGTTGTCTGTACCAAAAATTTGTAAATCAATTTTATCATTCAGGTTAGTTTTCTGCTGTATATTGATTGGCAACAATCATTACTGAAATTTTTTAATTATTTTTGTCCTTCAGAATAATGGGTAAAATTGATTTATAAGCTTACCGAAAAGTACTTAGACACTACCAAATAGATAATATTATTTTTATTATACTTATTACTTTTATTAATACTAAATTAATTATAACACAAAGTTAAACTAATGCAGTTTAAAATTTAAATTACTTTTCAAAATCTTTTGAATTTAAAATTGTACTGTGATTTTAAAAAATAGTTTAATTTTCAATTGAATTAAACTGACTTTATTTAACTATACGATTAATTTTGTTAGTTTATATGTTGTTAACTTTAAAATTAGCGTACTACATTTACGATGGATCCAAGTAATTACTAAAATGTATTCTTAACTCCTATTTGTAAAAATAAATAATCATTTTTCACTAAAGCTTTTTTATAATTCACGAAGAATTTTATATACAGTATATTTTAATGATAGTAAATAGAATATATTGTAATAATAATAAATTTTAATATCACAGGAATCTACTTTATACAAATTTTCATGGAAGAAATAATAAATGTCATGAGATATTTAATGCTTTATAAATAAAGATTTTAATTATTCACGTTTTTGGAACCAATGATATATTTCCGTAAAAATACAGTCCGGGAATATACAATCCGGCTCTTCACTTTCCGCGATTATACGTTCCGTCATTCTACGGTCTGTTATTTGTCTTTCCGTCAATATACGGTCCGGTATTGTACTTTCCGTCGTTCTACGGTCCGTAAATATTAGTTCAGAATTATTACTTTCCGTTATTATACATTCCGGTAATATTTTTTCCGTACTTATATAGCCCCCCGTTCCTACAGGCCGATATCACTTCTTCCTATAATATCGAAACTTTTCGAAAAACTACTTTACATTAGATTGAATCCCATTATTCAAGAACGTCAACTAATTCCTAACCACCAGTTTGGATTTCGTACTAAACATTCCATCATAGATCAAGTACATCGCGTTATAAACGTAATTAGTAGAGCTATGGAGGAAAAAAAGTATTGCTGTGGCGTTTTTCTCGATGTTTCTCAGGCTTTTGACCGCGTTTGGCATGAAGGCTTACTATATAAATTGAAAAAGTAGTTGCCTCATACATGGTGTGGGCTACTAGATTCATACTTAGTAGAAAGACAGTTTCGGGTAAGTCACGAAGAAGCTGTATCTGAATGGAAAGGTATTAAAGCAGGGGTACCTCAAGGTAGTGTCCTCGGGCCTATACTTTATCTACTTTATACATCTGATATTCCTACCTAAAATAAAATAACAACAGCTATGTTTGCTGATAACACAGCTATATTG